GTTGATGCCGTTCTCTTGGCTCCTCCGATGTCTCTCTCTCTCTCTCCCCAAACTCCTTCTCAGCTCTCTTTTCCCTCTCTCACAGGGAGAGTTCTTAAATAGGCCTCCAGGCAGCCCCAATTAGTTTCACCTGGGCCTTAATTGATTTTGCAGCCGCCCTGTCTCAGCTGCCCCTAATTAGCCAGGATTGCTGACTCTCTCTGCCTCTTTCCCCTTCCATCAAACTCTGTCACCTGCTGTATCACCCCTGCTCCGACACATCAGGTAGAAACTGTCTTAATCAGGATTATCTGGTCCAGCAAGATCCATGGTACAGCATGGATGTTGCAGGACCAGACAGCCCGGTGGACAGCCAGCAGTAAGGATTCCTGCGAAGCCAGCAGGGCAGTGGGCTGTCCGCAGGGAGCTGGCAACGGGGCCACCCGGGGGGCTGCCTGGAACAGTCACGGTAGTGATGGCTGCCCAGTGGCTCAGCAAGGCAGTAGTGCCAGCAAAGGGGGGAGGGGGGGAGCGAGCCAGCTGGGAGGCCAGCAATCAAGCAGGCCGGTGGCAGGGGTCCAAAAATGACCTCCCCTGGTCCAACAAAATCCTTCATCCAGGACCGGTCAGATCCTGAGCGTGCCAGGCCAGGTTGGTCCAACCTGTGTTGTGAAGGGAGGGTGCACCTAGTTAAGATTTAGAAAAAATTCTTGAGTCAACCACTGACACAGATACCAGCAACATATATTTATTGTTATTTTGGAAATATAACTTACTGTGTGCATATCAAGACTTCAGAGTAAACCGAACAAGTTAATTCCATGTGTGACACATGGAATTAGAGGGACTGAATTTAAAGTTGACCCGTAAAAGAGTTTTATAACTAGTGAGCATCTGCCTTTATGATCCATAAAGACCTGAAGGGTTTCCAGGTTTTTCTACTTATTTTTGTCACAAATCTGGAATATCAAATCCAGTTTTGCATAGTCTTCCTGAAAGATCTCAGAACACGCATATCGCAAGCACCAAATTCTTACTGGCAGCTTGAATCTTTAAACAGAAAAGACAATACCTATTTTACTTCAATGGGCAGTTAAGAACAAAGTCTTGACCAATCTACAACTTGTTTGCATTAGGAAGTTTACACTGTAGTTACTGAGCAAAACCTTAATGCAAGTGCTACACCACTAAGACACATTCCTAGATACAAGCCTACCTCCAGAGTTTTCACAGGTAAAACTATATTGTTAATCAAAGTTCTTGACTTCCATCCCCTCAATTATCAGCATTCACTTTTATTCTTTGTGATGCCCTTGTTTCTCTACTTCTACCACACAGCATTGCAAGCTTATACAGGATCTGTGTTTCTAGTATAACACACAAACAGAAAAATGAATATACACTTCAAGCCTTTACCCGAAGCAAAGGACGGGCCATGCCTATTTCTCTTCTCTTTTTTTCCCCCTTCCAACACTTGGCAGGTCACCTTTAAAATAGATAAATGCATTCAATGGACAAATATATGAAGTTGCAGGAGTTCCAGGATATAGAACATTGTGAAAATATCTCAAGCATAAAAACTACACTCAATAATTGCAAAAATAAAGTTTCATATTCTTCTAAACATTTTGATTCAAGCTCAAAGCAAATGAACATTAAAACTTCAATGATTCTCGCTTTAACTCACATTAGAACAGTAACTTTAAAATAAAATAAAAAATGAAATATTTTTTGGTGATAAAAGAAACTAACCTGGGTCCTTCAAAGGACATACTGTACAAATAGCAAAGACCCTAAGCATCAACAGTAAATTCCAGCTACAGAAAGTCTTCAGCTGATGTGTTTTTTACTTGGCATCAAATGTTACTAAGACTAAGAACCATAATTTGTTAGGATCAGATATTAGATTAAACCAGTATAAACAAAAGGAAAAACAAAAAACAAACAAAAAAACACTTTAAACAAGGTTCATTTTTTGCCACATAGCTTTTCAGGCTAACAATTTCACTAGTGCAAAACCATATTTTTACCTGATTCAATGAAAGCTCATAAGTGTCACAATTTTTAAGAATACAAAATTAGTTTTTTTCCCCCCCTTTTTTTTTAAAAAAAGTGCCACATACCATCCTTTCATTAAAAAGTTTACAAACTAATGGAAGACAGTCTGTCTCCATCTCTTGTCAACAAGGAAAGGCCATAGTGATTCCCTGATCCCAACTCGAAATGGCGTTCGTTGTCCTATTCCCAGCATCTCTAGCTTGGAACAATCGAGCTGAGCATTCTTCGGACGAAGAGCACCCACTACAGGGCCATCAATAATCTTAAAAACAAAAAAAACAAAACACACACAACCACTATACACAGTTAAAAATGAGTGCTTCGAAATACTGCCATTTGTTGCTTTCAATATGTTTGTTCCCTTCAGACAATTTTTCCATTGCTTTGTCAACTTAAAGTTAAAATCTATTTTCTCACATAAAATTTTTTGAACATAGAAATGCTAGGACGACAAATATTCATTTTGTAGAGCTTTTAGGGACAATGTGTATTAACTACCCTACAGAAAATCCCATTTTACTGTACTCCTTGTGTGAATGTCCTTTAGCTAGACAGATATAAAAACACGTTAAACCAATCTAACAGCTTTCTTTGATAGGATAACACATCTTGTGGATAAGGGAGAAGCAGTGGATGTGGTATACCTAGACATTAGTAAGGCATTTCATACGGTCTCGCATGATCTTATCAATAAACTAGGCAAATACAATTTAGATGGAGCTACTATAAGGTGGGTGAATAACTGCCTGGTTAACCACTCTCACAGAGTAGTTAACAACGGTTCACTATCATGCTGGAACAGCATAACAAGTGGGGTTCCACAGGGGTCTGGTTTGGGACTGGTTCTGTTCAATATCTTCATCAACTATTTAGATGATGGCATAGAGAGTAGACATATTAAGTTTGCAGATGATACCTACCTGGGACGGGTTGCAAGTGCTTTGAAGGATAGAGTTATAATTCAAAATAATCTGGGCAAACTGGAGAAATGGTCTGAGGTAAATAGGATGAAGTTTAATAAAGACAAATGCAAAGTATTCCACTTGGGAAGGAACAACCCATCTCACACATACAGAATGGCAAGTGACTGTCAAAGAAGGAGTACTGCAGAAAGGGATCTAGGGATCATAGCGGACCACAAGCTAAATCTGAATCAATAGTGTGACACTCTTGCAAAAAAAATTAAAGCAAACCAAACCAAAAAACCCACCATGATTCTGGGATGCATTAATAGGAGTGTTGTGAGCAAGACATGATAAATCATTTTTCCACTCTACTCTGCGTTGATTAAGCCTCAGTTGGAATATTGTGTCCAGTTCTGGGCACACATTTCAAGAAAGATGTGGAGAAGTTGGAGAAGGTCCACAACAAAAATGATTAAAGGTCCCTGAAAACATCACCTATTATGGAAGGCTGAAGGAATTGGGGTTGTTTAGTTTGGAAAAGAGAAGACTGAGATGGGACATGATAGTGGTTTTCAGATATCTAGAAGGGTGTTACAAGGAGGAGGGGGGAAAATTGTTCTCCTTGGCCTCTGATGATAGGACAAGAATCAATGGGCTTAAACTGCAACAAGGGAGGCTTAGGTTGGACATTAGGAAAAACATCCTAACTGTCAGGGTGGTTAAACACTGAAATAAATTGCCTAGGGAGTTTGTAGAATCTCCATCACTAGAGATATTTAAGAGCAGGTTAGACAGACATCTATCAGGGATGATATAGATCGTGGTTGGTCCTACAATGAGGGCAGGGGACTAAATTTGATGATCTCTCGAGGTCCCTTCCCATTCCAGTATTCTATAATTCTATGCATCATACCTATATTAAATGGCACACTTTTTGCCATTTTACGTTTTTTCACATCAATATCTCCTCTCTTTCACATCTCATCCCTACTAACCTGATAATATTTATTTATAATAGATGAGGAGTGCATATTCTTGAGATGAAAAATCTCTTCAGAGACTCTCTCTTACCAACAACAGTAAAGGTTATTCAATACTAGATTCATATTAGCATATTAAAATTAAAATGATCCCAGACCAAACTAGTATTGTGTGTAAGTTGTCTTTCTTCCATGCCACATTTCAATATTAACTTGTCTTTAAAAAAAAAATTAAAAAAAAATCCCTGAATTTGTAAACTAAGAAGTCTCACTTTACCTTTAAATATATAAACCCTAGAAGTTAACAGTAACTCACTAGAAATATATATAGAATTTTTTTAACCAAGTCTGATACTGAAATGCTAAGCAGATTCAATTTGCACTTTTCCCTCAAATTGCCTCCTGTTTTATTTAAATTTAAATAAACTCAAAGGTTTACATTTTTAAATCCATAATTTTAAATATCTGTGCATATTTCTCAACAATGAAGACCTATGCAGAAGATAGATTTTAAAGATATAATAGTATCTTAAAATTACAACAATACAAAACAGACTATCTTTAAAGTAAAATACAGTAAATTGTATAGGCTTCTTTTAATGAAAAATCTAAGAGAAAAAAATTACAATTTTACTAAGAGAAATTACTCAGTTTACAAAACATAGACAAACTAATGTATGCTAAATTAAGTCTATGACTGCTGGCTAGCTGGGTATTATTCACTTTAAAAATATCAAAAAACTCCCCTTTAGCCAGCTGTAGTCTAGAAATACTTTACACTCCAGACTTGCAGATTTTTATAATATACACTTTATTTATAAGGCGGTCTCTGTTTGAAAAGCTACATCTATTACAGGAAATAGTTAACACAGCAGTGGTCATTTCCCTGCATCAGAAGATATCTGAAAATGTTGGCAGCACATCATGCCACATTGAAGATTTTTGGGACTGTTCCTTGATATAATTACTCATGCTATCAGGAGCAGCAGCCCACTTGTTTTTTTCAGTGTACGAAAGTGGCTCAAATGAAAGCATTCAGAAATGTATATATTTTTAATATAGCTTTAATATTACTTACTGGTCTCAAGTGGCTGCTGGGAAGGTTGAAAGCATCTGCTATAGCACATGCCATTTCATACTTGGTCATCTGTTCATTACCAGACCAGTGAAATGTTCCTTTTATTGATGGATCCTAGAAAGAAACAAGTATCAATGAAGAGTTAGACTGATATTTTCACAGAACTAGATATGCAAGAGATTAGAGGAAAAACCAATATACAGGCTGACATTCAGACAAGATGATGCCATCCTGAAAAACAAATTAATAATTAATTGAAATATTTCTGGAATGACTATATTGCCAGAGTAGATACTGAGCAGATGTTTAAGAAGGAAAAAAAAAATGTAGCTTTTATAAAGCTATCAGCAGGGCTGGCAGAACCTTGACTTCTCAAAGATGCTGGGCAGTCTTGACTCAACTGTGCATGGACTGAATGTGCTCTTAAGATGACACAGGTGTGAAAAGCTTAAATATAAACAAAAAACCCATTGCAAGCCAATCATTTATCAAAATTCAAATACAAACCTCTCTGGTGCAGTACTGTAGAATTTGCACGACTGGGGGAGGTCTCTTGCCACCGGCCCCTAGTCCATCACTCCTGCTGGCAGGCGGCCCCAGTAGGCAACCCTGCCTTGCCTTTCCACCCAAACCTGGCTGGGCTCCTGGCCCAGCTACTGCTGATTCCCTGGGTGGCACAGGTTCCAGCTCCTGCGGCAGGGCTCTGGTCCTGTGCAGCAGGGGACAGACATGGGTCTGAAACTCTGACCCCCATGCAACCCCAGCTCTGTGCTGCTGGGGGTTGCCGCGGGGACTCTGACCCCCCACACTGCCACAAGGCTCCGGCCTCAGCCCTAACCTCCAGGGGGGCTGCTAGGAGGCTGCTGCGGGGTTCTGGTACTGTCTTGTGTGGTCTCCAGCCCGGCTGGCCCTCCTGCCCTTAGGCTCCTGAGCTCTCTGGTCCAGGAACATTCATAGTCATGCCGGACCAAGGATGTTGTCAGACCAGAGAGGACTGGATTTTGGAGATACAACCTGTAATATAAATATGACAGACACCATAAATCCTCTTCTCTCTCACAGCAAATGAGAGCTATATAGAAGTACTCAGAAGTTATGCCTTAGACTTAACTATCTATAGAGCGGTGTTGACAAATTCAATCCTGTCCACATAGTATGAACTGCTGGGGACTTCAGCTATCCAGACATATGTTGGGAAACTAACGCAGCAGGGCACAGATTACCAAATAAATTCTTGGACTGCACTGGAGACATTTATTTCAGAAGGTTGAGAAAGCTACTAGGGGGAAGCTGTTCTACAGTTGATTTTAACAAATAGGGAGGAACTCAGTGAAGAGGGAGAAACAATAACAGGAAACTTGTAAATGGCAGAGACGCTTAACGATTTCTTTGTTTCAGTTTTCACCAAGAAGATTGATGGTGAAGGGATGCCTAGCATAGTGAATGCTAGTGGAAATGAGGTAAGTTTAGAAGTTAAATTTAAAAAAAAAAAGTTAAAAATTACTTAGAAAAGTTAGATATCTTCAAGCTGTCAGGGCCCGGTGAAATGCATCCTAGAATACTAAAGGAGTTGATAGAGGAAGTATCCAAGCCTTTAGCTATCATCTTTGAAAAGTCATGGAAGTCAGGAGAGATTCCAGAACTTTGGAAAAGGACAAATATAGTGCCCATCTATAAAAAGGGAAATAAGAACAATTCAGGAAACTACAGACCGGTCAGCTTAATTTCTGTGCCAGGGAAGATAAAGGAGCAAATAATTAAGGAATTCACCTGCAAATTTCTGGAAGATAAGATGACAGGTTACAAATCCATGCTGGCTGTTAAGAACAAATCATGTCAATCCAATCTGATAGCTTTATTTGATAGGATAACAAGTCTTGTGGAGAAGGGGAAAGCAATGGACGTGGTATACCTAGACTTTAGTAAAGCATTTGATATGGTCTCGCATACCCTTATCAATAAATTAGTGAAATACAACCTATATTGGGCTACTATAAGATGGGTGAATAACTGCCTAGATAACCATTCTCAGAAAGTAGTTATTAATGGTGGAAGAGCATAACCAGTGGGGTTATACAGAGATCTATTCTGGAACCAGTTCTGTTCAGTATCTTCATCAATGATTTAGATATTAGCATAGAGAGTACGCTTACTAAGTTTGCAGATGATACCAAGCTGGGAGCAGTTGCAAGTGCTTTGGAGGATAGGGTCATCATTCAAAATTATCTGGGCAAACTGGAGAAATGGTCTGAGGTAAACAGGATGAAGTTTAATAAGGACAAAGGCAGAGTAATCCACTTAGGAAGGAACAGTCTGTTTCACACATACAGAATGGGAAGCAACTGTCTAGGAAGGAGTACTGCAGAAAAGGATCTAGGGGTCATAGTGGACCACAAGCTATGAGTCAACAGTGTGACTTTTTTTTTTTGCCAACAAAGAACAAACAACATGATTCTAGGGTGCATTAATGAAAGTGTTGCAAGCAAGACACTAGAGGTAATTCTTCTGCTCTGCGCCTCTTAGGCCTCAGTTGGAATACTGTGTCCAGTTCTGGGCACCACACTTCAAGAAAGATGTAGAGAAGTTGGAGAGGGCCCCAGAGAAGAGCAACAAAAATTATTAAAGGTCTAGAAAACACCACCTATTACAGAAGGCTGAAAGAATTGAGCTTTTAGAGTTTAGAAAAGAGAAGACTGAGAGGGGACATGATAGCAATTTTTAAGTAACTAAAAGGGTGTTACAAGGAGGGTGGAGAAAAATTGTTGTCCTTGGCCTCTGATAGGACAAGAAGCAATGGGACAAACTGCAGCAAGGGAGGTTCAGGTTGGAAAAGCATCCTTCCCATTAGGGTGGTTAAACACTGGAATAAATTGCTTAGGGAGGTTGTTGAATTTCCATCACTGGAGATATTTAAGGACAGGTTGGATAGACATCTATCAGGGTTGATCTAGATCAGGGGTAGGCAATCATTTTTGGCTGGGGGACACTTCACAACATTTTTAAGTGGCCTTGGGGCGCCCTGAAAGGGTTGGGCCAGGATGCTTATGTGCTTTCCCATCCCCAGACTATGATTGGTCTGGGGGTGGAAGAGTCCCTTTGCCCCTACTTCCCACTAGGCACCCATGCCCCTGGCAGGGCAGTAAGAGGCTTCGCATGCTCTCCCACACCCAGACCAATCGGGGGTCTTCCAACACTACAGTCATCTGAAGAAGTGGACTGCGCTCACGAAAACTCATGATTCCATCTACATATTTTGTTTAATCTTTAAAGTGCTACCGGACTATTTGATGTTTATTAATATGGTTTCTATTAATAAGCTTTTGGGGGATAATTACACCTGCTAATTTTGAATTAAATTGGAAGAACACATCCCAATTTTAAAAATTCTAACTGCAATTTTTCCAAGAATGATGGGAGTGAGACAGTTAGAAATAGCGGTTGAAAGACAGCTCTAACATTTAAGTAGCTCTCAGGTTTGGGAAGGAGGCGCAATTTGTTTTGATTTTGCAGAACTGTGATAATTTATACATATTCAATCAAGTGCTTTCCATCTAAAAATGCACACAATGGATTGAATGTGTGCACAGCTCAATGAAAGCGAAGTGTGAACTCAATGAATACATTCTGCACTCTTGGGAGCTGCTGCCTCCTGGCTAACCTTCTAAAACTGTTTGTTTTAAATTGGGATCATTAGAGAAAATGCAGTTAATGCTTCCTGTATTTTGAGCACCAAAATCCGCTCTGGGACTCGGCAGGTTTGAAACTTGTGACAGGAAAATGCTTTCTTGTGCCTCTCTTTGGCCTTCTTACCTTCTCTGTTTAAATTTGTTCACAGCAGCTACGAGATATTACAAGGGCTATCTGCACACATGAATACCTTCGCCATGGTCCTACTCTGACAGCTCACCTGGAAGAGCTCTGTAGTGGCAGCTTACTGAAGATTTGTATAAGGTACAAGATGGTAGAGAGCTCATGTTCCATTTCATAGCAACTGGAGTATTTACAGTTTCTCTGGAACCCCTACTGTTCTATCAACATCCTTTCCCTCCTGTCTCTCTGCAATGCCATCAAATATTTTGCACAAGCATCTTCAAGAACTGTGTCCACCAAGAAGTCCAATCACTGTTGATCTTTAAAAAAAAATACCCTTCAAAGGGTAGAGAATTAAAGGTATACTTTACTATAGAAATACTTTGGTGGTACATTGATTACTTGCATTTTAGTCCTAGAGACAGCAAGATTCACGGTAATTTTAATTTCTTATATGGAAACTCCTAAGAAAAGCTCTGGATCCTGCTCTCCCATTCTCATCTTTGAAACTTACAATTCCATCATTTCCCAAGTAGCATAACACTCAGGGAGGCTCATGGATAGTGCAGCAGTTATTGTAGTTGTCAAGGCTTGGCCTAGAGCTCTGAAAATCAGAACCAAAACCTTAGGTTTGATTTGGTACCCATTTGGGACCACAGTTGGGACAGGAAAATTTAAAAACAAAAACAACTTGTATATTGGCTAAAAGAGGCTTATTTTCTCAAATTCTCACCAGCATTCTCTTCTCTGAAAGCTGTCGGCAAACACTAGCTACATCCTTGATGTTGGTAGGAAACCTCTGTTGCCAATGGTCCATATTAGCTGATTTGTTACTGAACTGCACTTTATCAAACATAACAGTTACAGCACTCTCTTCCAGCCTTTCCACCTCCCCATATAAGATAGGAATTCTGAGCACTGCAGCACCTAAACAAGAAAAACATTTTTTTTTTTTAAATTATGACTAATCGAATGCTTGTGAATAACCCTACAAAATTTTCAGAATTACAGAACATGAATAAAAATTGTTATAGACATTTGGAAAACATGATATAGAGTCACACTTGCGAAAGAAAAATATTAACTGTGCTTATGTACAGTCTATTCTGTTACATAGTTTTCAGTCAATATGAAGTTTTCAAATTTCATACAGAACTCAGAACATATACAGTAAATAAAAGTTGCTAAAATTACATTAGGAGATCTTTTCCACTTTATATAATGTAAACATTTATATAGCTAATATTTTTATTCAAAGTATTTATAAAGCCAGTTATAGTACTGTTAGTGGACAGAGAGAAGTACCTAAATATGAATTCATAAGGCTTGCAGAGAAGAGATATGGACAGTAGAAAGAGAATGAGAGCAAAAATGCCTCTCATATTACAGTGAGAAATTAGTTAACAGAGGGAATTACATTAACTCAAGTGGCTCCTGGTTTTTTTTTTTTTTATTATTATTATCATCATCATCATCATCATCATCATCATCATCATCATCATCATCATCTTGAAGAAAAAAAATCAGGAAATGGTGAAAACCACAAAACTTCCTGAGATTATATAACAGGTTTTTTATTAACCTGTTTTTTATTAACATGTGCAAAGCATGACTATATACAAGACTTATCTGGATGATATGTTCGCTAAGGTAGCAAGGAATTAACGTTTGATTTGACAGTTTTTGAAAGAACATAAAAATTGAGACACGGAAGAAAGAACAAAACAATTAGAAGGTTTGTTTCATTTTTAAAGGAAGCAAAGCAATCTCCCTCAAACAAACAAAAAAAAAAAATCAAGCCACTAAAATCTGATTGTGAACACTATTCACAAAACACAATATAAAAGTATAAAGACTGTGCAATACAACCTTGACTAATTTCATTTATTATATAATTACAAAGCCAGTAGTTGAAAGATTCATGTAATATTTTATTTTAGTAGAACTGATTCAGTGACTTATGATGATATCTTCTCAAAATCACCTTAAATCTGCTTAGATTGGAATACTTCCACAGACTCATTACTGACTAAAAGACTAACTAAAGGGTTATGAAAACAGAGCAAAGTACTGAGTGGGGAAGATGTCTACGGAGGTACCACACATACCTAATTCCAGTATGACCTTAATTACCAATCCAGAAAAGGGGAACAAACAGTATCTTAACAGAATTCAGAAATGATAATCAATTGGGAGTTTTTGCAAACTACAACAGGACAGAATATAAAGGCAGCTATGAAAATTAAGCACATCAACAAAGAAATAATATTTCAGTTGTAGGAAAGAAACAGTCCCACATGGACAGAAAGTTAGATTTGCTGTTCTAATGATTTTATTGACCAGGATGTACTAGCTCATCTGTTACAAAGTGAGAAGAAACAAAACTGCGGAAATTTCAAAATGTAAATTGTATTCTTACCTTCATTATTTTCAAAGACTGCCTTTTCTCCTTCTAGTTTAGTTTTACCATAAAGATTTAGAGGATTTGGTTCATCACTCTCTTTATAAGGAGGATTTGTTCCATCAAACACATAGTCTGTACTAATGTAGATCAGAAATGCTCCAATTCCAGCTAAGAGAAAAGGTGTATGGCGGAGAATAAAGAAAAATTACTACCGTAGACTTCAGATAATCCGGCACCTTTGGGACCTAGGTGGTGCCAGATTATCGGCTATGCTGGAGTATCAGGAAGTACTGTATACTCCCAACCCAGTCCCCCTCCCCACCCAACCTTATGCTCAGGTCCCCGGAGCTGCCGGTACAACCCTGTGTCTCACTGCAGGCACTGGGGCACTTGCACTGAGCAGCCGGCTTTTCAATCAGCTGGCTGGGACGCTGTGAGTAACCCAATTCCCCTCCCCTTCCACAGAGCCAAACACCTCCCTCGCCCTGCTGTCACCCACGTGAGAGTGGCTGACCTGAACGGTTCCGGGTTCCGTCCCGGTTCCGTCAGGAACGCTTGCCATTTTGATGCCGGACTATCAGGAGTGCCGGACAATTGGGTGCCGGACTATTGTAGTTTTACTGTACAAGCCTTTAGTGTGAGAGGAAAATTGCTACTCTCTGAACCTAACTACATTTGTACATGTTTAATTCAAATGCTCTATAATTCATATGAAACTTCAGTGAGGGATGGAAATAAGTGCATGTTCTAGATTCAATACTATCCCATTGTCTTTTCACCTCTTCATTCCATTACTTTTCTAATCCTCCAAACATACCCATGTTGCTGTCTTCACCTAGCTAGATAGAAAGCTTGCTGAGGCAATGATGGATCTTGTTTGTTTAATGTAAAATACTATGCTTACTTAAGCCACTGTATAAGTTACTGTAGTATTCTGGGGGGAAAAAATCCATCTAATTGTCTCTTTACCTGCTTCTTTTGCTAAGTTCCCTGAAGCAGCCACATTGAGCTGAGAAGCAGCATCTGCTTGACTTTCTACAACATCTGGTCTTCTCTCAGCAGCACAATGCACTACCACATGAGGCTGAAAATTAAAGACTCAATTTTATCGAGGAACAAAATTAAAAAATAGCAACTGTGCCCTCACACAGAAACCAGATCAGTCATCTACACAGAAAATAAATACTGTTCTGATTTAATTGTGGCACTGATGCACAATAATCATTTATTGTGAAATCCTCAAGAACTTTCTTCTCTTTGGAAATGCAAAAGTTTTAAGCACTGGTGGGCAACCTGTGGTCCACTGGTGTCCTATGTGTGGCCCATGAGACATTTTGTTTACAGTTGCCGATGCACCAGGTTGCCAGATTCTGTTAGTTTCCATCTGCATAGCTTTTTTTCCCCTATCAATATTACTAAAATGACACACATAAAGCAAGGGCACATGAAAAGTTCATGCTGACTACACACAACATTGACATTGGGAGCTAGAGATATTAAATATTATTAATTGAATAGTCAATTGACCTCATGAATTCTTATTAGTTACTTGACTTTTTTACAGTCCCCGAGGAGAGGGGGGTGGCAGCAAGTGTGCTCTGGCCCAACTCCCAAAGAGCCCCCTGCTATTGTGTGTGCTGCCTTTATATCAGATGGCAGCAGCATGGGTGCCAGGCGGAAGCTGGTCTACAAGGGCAGTCAGTTTAAAACCCAGCTCCCCTCACACACCAGCGGATACAAGGGAGCAGCACAGGATGGCAGCATCCCCTGTTGGCAGAGGGGCAGGAAGAACTGACCTCCTGGACCTGGCGTAAGGTGGAACTGACCTAGGGCTGCCTGCCCGCTTGGCTACTAATACACTTTAAATGCAGAGCCTCAGTAGGGGTAGGGTCCTGGACTCAGTGCAAACTGAGCCAGCCTGCTAAAAAAATTTACTGGCAGGGGGGAGGGAGCCGGAATGCGTGTAGTCTATAGTACTAACTAATAAGCTTTTGCTTAACCATGCACACCCTCTCCATCCAAAGTACTGCTACGGTTTAAGTGGCCCACCCCGCAAATTCTAGGTATACAAGCACAGTTAGCAAAACTATCCTTTCCCAGGACACAAGCTTGGTTACGACAATGTTGCAGTCCACTTTGATGTTAGGCCATTCATGCAGTCCACTCTCTAGCCTAGGTTGCCCATTGTGACGAGGTGATGCAACCCCGTCACTGCGACCAGCTAGGGGGTAGCTGAGGCACCAAAGATACCGGCGCACATGCTGCTAGGGAAGCAGCAGAGCAAGCGCCGGCAACGCCGCGCAGGGGGGCAGACACGCAGGGAGCATGAGCCTGTCAGGAAGCAGGAGGAGGAACGCTGGGACAGAACACCTCGCCCGGCGTGGCGTATGACAGCACCCATGCGACAGGAGTCGCCGGAAGAAAGGAAGGCGGGTTGACAAGGGGAGATAACGTCACCCACCGAGCCCAAGAGTGGGCAGAGGATAAAATCCCGGAGGAAGGTGAAGGAAAGGGGGGGAAGTCGGGAGAGACAGGTAGAGACGTGGCTGAGTCTTGGTAAGGGGAGGGACTTTCAGGCACTTCAGGGCTTTATAAGGCAGTGGGCAAGCGACCAAGGAGCTTGTGAATAGCTAAGGGCTAACAGGGAGTTTAGAGAGGGAGTTTGGAAGGGGAGAGGGAAGGGGGCAAGGTTCTTTTGCCTTTCTTTTTACATCTCTTCGCCAGGACAGCAGTGATGGATGCTGATAGGTCTGCTGTTATCACCTGCACGGAGTGTGCCATGTTTGTCTTCCTCCCGGAAGAAAGAACGGATTTCATCTGCATGAAATGCAAGCTGGTCAACATTTTGGAAGAAAAAAAAGTTAGAGGACTGGAGGCCCAAGTGTCAACCCTATGCTCGATTAGAGAGGATGAAGACTTCCTCGATAGAAGGCAGCGTTTAATCCTTCAAGCACAGCAGGCAGAGAAGCCAGAGAGGGCAGTACGTGACCAAGAAGAGAACTGGCAGTACGTAACTTCTAGAAAAGAGGGAAAAGGTCAGCATGGGAACCCCCCAAATGCTATAGAGATAAGTAATTGCTTTCAGGCTCTCTCCACAGGCTCTACAGTGCTGAATGCTTTGGAAGGAAGGAAGAAAACCAGAAGGGAACACCATCTACTGGAAGGCATGGCATGCGTAATCCTAGTGATGGGGGTTCCACGGCCACCACCCCCAAAAGAAAACGACAGGTGGTGGTGGTGGTCAGGGACTCCCTCCTAAGAGGGACTGAGCCATCCATCTGCCGTCCGGACCTGGAATCGAGAGGTGTGCTGCTTACTGGGAGCTCACATTCAGGATGTGACTGAGAGGCTTACCACACTGATCAAACCTTCAGATTGCTACCCGTTCCTGCTTCTCCATGTGGGAATTAACGATACAGCCAAGAATGACCTCGAGCGGGTTACTGAGCATTATGTAGCACTAGGAAGAAGGATCCAAGAATTCGGAGTGCAAGCGGTGTTCTTGTCCATCCTCCCTGTTGAAGGGAAAGGACTGGGCAGGGATTGTCGAATTGAGGACGTAAATGCGTGGTTGTGCAGGTGGTGTAGCAGAGAGGGCTTTGGTTTCTTCGACCATGGGACTCTGTTCCAGGCACAAAGCTTGTTAAGAAGAGATGTGATCCACCTAACAAAGAGAGGCAGGAGCATTTTCGTGGACAGGCTTGTAAACCTAGTGAGGAGGGTTTTAAACTAGGTTCGCTGGGGGACGGTGACCAAAACCCTCAGGGGAGTGGGAAAGTCGGATACCGGGAAGAAATGCAGAGAGGAACGAGCAAGAAAGGAGGACCCATGATTGGAATGGAGAAGATAGGACGATCAACTGGTTACCTGAGGTGTTTTTACACTAATGCGATAAGCCTGGGCAACAAACAGGAAGAACAGGAGGCCCTGGCCCAGTCCAAGAAATAGGATTTGATTGGCATAACAGACTTGGTGGGATGACTCGCATGACTGGAGCGCTGTCATGGAAGGGTATAGACTGTTCAGGAAGAACAGGCAGGGGAGAAAAGGAGGAGGAGTTGCACTATATGTAAGAGAGCACTACGATTGCCCCGAACTCCAGTATAAAGAGGGAGAAAAACCTGTTGAGAATCTATGGGTTAAGTTAAAAGGAGCAAACAAGAGCAGTGATGTTGTGGTTGGTGTTTGCTACAGGCCACCGAATCAGGTGGATGAGGTAGATGAGGCTTTCTTGGGACAACTGAGAGAAACTTCCAGATCGCAGGCCCTGGTTCTCGTGGGGGACTTTAATCACCCTGATATCTGTTGGGAAACCAATACGGCAGTACACAGGCAATCCAGGAAGTTTTTGGAGAATGTTGGGGATAACTTCTTGACACAGGTGCTGAAGGATCCGACCAGGGGCCATGCACAGCTTGACCTTCTGCTCTAGCTAGTTCGAACTAGGCTTAATCCTCGTAAAATGAGGTTTACCTAGTTCGAACTAAGCGCTCCGCTAGTTCGAATTAAATTCGAACTAGCGGAGCGCTAGTGTAGCGCCTTTTAAAGTTAGTTTGAACTAACGTCCGTTAGTTTGAACTAACTTTGTAGTGTAGACGTACCCTCAGAGACCTGATGGGCAGAATCCCCTGGGATGCTAACCTGAAGGGGAAAGGAGTCCAGGAGAACTGGCAGTGTTTTGAAGAAGCCTTATTGAAGGCAAAGAAAGAAACCAGCCCGATGAATAGCAAGAGAAGCAAACATGGTAGGAGACCAGATTGGCGTACAGGGGAAAACCTTGGTGAACTTAAGCACAAAAAGGAAGCTTACAAAAAGTGGAAACTTGTACAAATGACCAGGGAGGGGTATGAACGTATAGCTTGAGAATGCTGGGGGATTATCAGGAAAGCGAAAGCTCAATTGGAATTGAGACTGGCAAAGGATATGAAGGATAACAAGAAAGGTTTCTACAGTCATGTTAGCAAGAAGAAGGTGATCAGAGAGGGTGTGGGGCCTCTATTGAATGAAGGAGATAACCTAGTGACAGTTGAAGTGGGGAAAGCTGAAGTACTCAATGCTTTCTTTTCCTCTGTCTTCACGGGCAATGTGGACTCCCGGACTAATGCACTAAGTGACGCAAGATGGGATGAAGATGGACAGCCCTTGGTGGGTAGAACACAGGTTAGGAACTATTTAGAAAAGCTAAACGTACATAAATCCATGGGTCCAGACTTAATGCATCCAAGGGTACAGAGGGAGTTGGCAAATGTCATTGAGGAGCCTTTGGCCATTATCTTTGAAAACTCGTGGAGATCAGGAGAGATCCTGGATGATTGGAAAAAGGCAAACGTAGTGCCCATCTTCAAAAAAGGGAAGAAGAACGATCCAGGGAACTATAGGCCGGTCAGTCTTACCTCTGTTCCTAGAAAAATCATGGAAGGAATCCTTAAGGACTCCATTTTGAGGCACTTGGAAGAAAGGAAAGTGATTAGGAATAGTCAGTATGGATTCACAACGGGAAAGTCGTGCCTGACCAATCTGATTAGCTTCTATGATGAGACAACTGTTTCTGTAGACATGGGAAAGTCAGTGGATGTGATATACCTTGATCTTAGCAAGGCTTTTGATACGATCTCCCACGATATTCTTGCCAGCAAGTTAAGGTAACGTGAATTAGATAAATGGACAGTAAGATGGATAGAAAGCTGGCTAGAAGGCCGGGCCCAGGGGGAGCGATCAACAGTTCGATGTCAGGATGACAGTCGGTTTCTAGCGGAGTGCCCCAAAGTTCAGTTCTAGGACCGGTTTTGTTCAATATCTTTATTAATAACCTGGATGAGGGGATGGATTGCACCCTCAGCTAATTCACAGATTACACTAACCTAGGGGGAGAGAGAGATATGCTTGAGGGCAGAGATAGGGTCTAGAGTGACACAGACAAATTGGAGGATTGGGCCACAAGAAATCTGATGAGGTTCAACAATGACAAGTGCAGAGTCCTGCACTTGGGATGGAAGAATCCCAGGCATAGTTACAAGCTGGGGACCAACCAGTTAAGTAGTAGTTCTGCAGAAAAGGACCTGGGGGTTACAGTGGATGAGAAGCTGGATATGAGTCAACAGAGTGCCCTTGTAGCCAAGAAGGCTAATGGCATATTAGGTTGCATTAAGAGGAGCATTGCCAGCAGATCCAGAGGTTTCATTATTCTCCTTTATTCGGCTTTGGTGAGGCCACATCTGGAGTATTGTGTCCCGTTCTGGGCTCCCCACTACAAAAAGGATGTGGACACTCTGGAGAGGGTCCAGCAGAGGGCAACCAAAATCATTAGGGGGCTGGAGCATATGACCTATGAGGAGAAGCTGAGGGAGTTGGGTCTGTTTAGTATGCAGAAGCAAAGAGTGAGGGGGGATTTGATAGCAGCCTTCAACTTCCTGAAGGGAGGTTCCAAAGAGGATGGAGAGAGGCTGTTCTCAGTAGTGACTGATGGCAGAACAAGAAGCAATGATCTCAAGTTGTGGTGGGAGAGGTCCAGGTTGGATATTAGGAAAAACTATTTCCCTAGGAGGGTGGTAAGCACTGGAATGGGTTACCTAAGGAAGTAGTGGAGTCTCCATCCCTAGAGGTGTTTAAGTCTCGGGTTGAGAAAGCCCTGGCCTGGTTGGTTTAGTTGTGATTGATCCTGCCTAGAGCAGGGGGCTGGACTTGATGACCTTCTGAGGTCTCTTCCAGCTCTATGGTTCTATGATTCTAGGAGGGAACAGGGAGAGGGGACGTAATGGGCACACTTGACCGGCCATCATGAGTAGACCTCAGGCGGTGGAGTTGAACGTTGGCCCAGGGCGGGGTCGCGATAACCCCCCGCCTGCTACTGTAGGGAGCACGGTTCCCTGCGTTAGGGCCCTGGGCCGGAGCCTGGGATAGTGGGTGGGCCCGGGCTCTCCTCTCCGCCACCGGCGGGCGATCAAGAGACTACAAGTGGAGTGGTTGAATCCTTTCGCCCCCATTTGGGTTACGCGGCGCATGCGCAAGGGGGCTGTGCGGGGGGGCGCTGCACGTTGGCACGGGTGTCGCACGCGAATAAAATAACAAGTTAGGCCAAACCAGGTGTGCAGACGCATGACACATCACAAATAGCAAATAACAAAGGCTCTCATTGAGTATTTTGCAGTCATGACCCTCAGTCATCACCCCTAATAATATCTATCTTATAGCAAAGAATTTTGTTCTTAGTATTAAAGAAAATATGGGTTAGACTAGGAATGTGAAAGAGTAACCAGTAGGGATGTGAAAGGTTAACCAATTAAGCGTGATGCTTACTGGTTCTGGTTAACCAGTGGGGGCTGAAGCAGCTCCTCACCTATTGTAGGTAGGGGGGGCTCCAACACCCCCCATTTTACCAGTTAAAACTTTATGCTTAACTGCTAAGCCATTTAAATTTGGATTTACATCCATAGTAACCGGTAAGTATTGCCTTACCAGCATGCTTACCAGTTAACCTGTGTCTGGCCTGGCTGTGGCAGCCCAGCCAAGCCCACCACACTGCACTGCAGGGCTGCTCCAGTGGCTCTCACCCAACACAATGGGCCAGTTAATCTATTTAAATTGTTAAGCAGTTACATTATATGTTTAACAGGATTTTATGTCCCTAGCTTGGACTCAATACCCAACCACCCACAATGCTAATTAAATAAATGTTAACCAAACTAGACTTACGGTTTTCATATACTATATTATATATTAATGGTATTAATATTAACTGATTTGTTTGACAGGTACAAGCACAAGAGTTTTATAACTCTTTTCTAGACTGGGTCTCTTTATTCTAATATAAGCTTTTTTAAAAAAGTTATTCCTTGGAAGCTGTGAAACAACAGCATTGACTGCTACAAGGAGATTTGCACCATGAGAGGAACAAGATATGCAATCAATTATTCTGTCTCGAGTGTAACAAAGCCTTATTGTAACATTGTCTCAATACAAATCTTTACAGAAGTGTATAAACTTTTTGTTTAATTACTAAATATATGTGCTTGCACTTACTTGCTGCTGATTGTTGCATCTAGGGATATTATACAAACACAACTGTACAAATTAGGGAAACAACAAAAATGCCATTTTCTTCCAAACAACTACCACAGAAGGATTTTGGAGTGTCATTGAGATCAGAAGTGTTTAATAGCATAAGGCATCTTAGCAAACATTTTTTTTAAATGCATACACATAGTCTCCAGAGTAATATGGCAAAGTGACTGCTTCTCCTTTCTTTCCTGCAATCTTACCCGAAAATCCTGAATAATGTCATGAACCCCAACAGAGTCCAGAAGATTAACTCGTTCAAATCTTGGTCGAGCTCTACTGTATCCACAGCCAACTGCATGCCAATTGTTCTGATTAAATTCTTTGTACACAGCTCTGCCAAGAAGCCCAGTAGCTCCTGTAATTAGAACACGTCTATTGGGAATATCAACATCTTCCTGGAAGAAGGGAAAAAAACCACACATTTTTATTTCTTTTCATTATACTTAATGTCTCCATTTAATGTTTTATTATTTGGCTGCAACCATAATCAGTGTAAATGAGTGTTGTCATATTATTCTTGGGAAACGTTCAGGTTAACTTTCCTCACAGTTTCCAAAAATTTAGGGCTTAAGTAATATATGAAGCCTGTAAAGCTTTGTAAAATGTAAACACTGAAAGCACAGGACAATGTTATAACAGCAAATATAGAAACAGATCTGAACTGCAAAACTTCATTCAGAAACTCACTTATTGTCTGTATATGTGAACAAAAATGAAAAAATATAAAAACAAAGAGTTTAAGGGTGCTCATAATTCAGCAGTTCCATTGCACAACAGGAATGTATGGGGTATGTGTGCTTCTAAAGAGCTGGCTCTGAACGTTTTATTGAAAAAGTTGTGAACTAATCCCTGCAATGAGTTCCCCCTGGAAAGCCTCTGTGCCCAGGAAGAATCAGCTCGCTGCAAAAAGATTGTATGGGGTCTTCCCCATAAGGAGTTTACTGCAGAATTGAGATGTAAATTGAATACATCTCAGGCAAAGCCTTAATAAAATACTCAGACAATTCGTGTTCAGTTAGACAAGATGGATCACAAAACTGATTTGATTATTCAACCTGCTCCAATTGTCCATGCTTGGCAAGATTATCTACAGATAAATGTATATAAACTACATACAAAATGGAGAATACAAAGAACCTCTAATAATGAAAAGTGACTAGCAACCTCAATATAGGGATTATGAGCTGCTCTCCTTCTAATCACAATCAGGAATATGGTATTCTTAATTTTAGTTAGATAACTGGATGATGTTTTGGAGAATCATTCTGATTTACAAGTCAAACATTGGATTTAAGTATGAATCACAGAACCATCCAATAAAAACTAAACAAAACGAACAGATGCATAAAACCAAACAAACAAACAGTGAGGAATCCTGTAGCACCTTAAGATTAAGATTTATTTGGGCAAAAGGTTTTGTGGACAAAGACCCACTTTGTCAGAACAGCAAATCACAGCCAATGGGAGTGGTGAGTGTCTATACCTGAGGACATTCAGGTAAACAGAGTCTGGTGGCCAGAGGAGCAAATTGCATCCAGCTCATAGGCCACTTATTACCCACTCCTGAGATAAGGAGTTAAGAGCTTGACAGCATGAGATAATAATAATGCAGTCCAACTGTTAAAGTCCTTTAAATATCAATGCTAATATACTTTAGTGAAGACAACATACAGTAATTGGCAACCAATACAATTTTGGGCTGTACCATGCACAGACATATCAGAACTGGGAAGTCACTGTCAAGACTATCCCCAGTTAGTGCTGTACACTCTCAGAAACAAAAATGAATAGGAACTCAAAAGTGATGAAAAGGCTCATAGATTTGAATTTTTAAGTCTGAAAAAAGTAAACACATCCAAGCATCTTATTAGAAGGAAATTTAATCTCACTCATTTATTTACCAAAATTTTGAAATACATCTAGCAGTATTTAAACATAACAATGCATATATTAAAAATAAAGCCCCTTATAAACAGTAGTAAAAGCATTGCTGCAACATGAACATAAAACAAAATTATGAGAAAATTAGTCATTAATCCATGTTCCATCAATCCATTGAAAACTACAGAATCAAATAGACATGGGTAGATTTTCAAAGGCAACAAATTCAAGTAAGAGGCTTGCACAGGAAGCATTCTTTTTGCTTCTATAAAACATTTCTCGGGTTCTTCACTATTGTGTCAGGATAAAGAGGTAACCAAATCCAAAATCATTTAAGTATATGAATCTTGTAAACACAGTAAAACTAAAGAGAAAAAAGGCATACCCCCATCAGTCATCTAACAGGATACTTGGAATCAGAATTTAGAAATTCTGATCCCAGGCAAAAGTCTCTAGAAAAGTTCAGAGGGCTAAATTATATAACTTGTGTCCTGATATTATCAGACAAAAATTCTGACACAAAATCTAACCCACTTGTATAAATGACAAACACTTTTTGTATGTCATGTCTACCTTATCTTTCAAAAATAATTACAGAAAATATATCATGAAGGATGTCCCTTCCTCAGCGAATAAGGATGAAGCCTTAGGCCACCACAAGAGTGCAACTGTTCCCCCAGGAGGTGAACAAGAGGATGAGCCACAAGTCTGATTTATTCAAACAAAATTAAAGAGTATACAACATTAGTGTTAGTAACAGATCCCACTAAACATAACGTTAAATGGCAGTAAATGGAACACAATACTTTTAGATAATGTAGAAATAGATTATCCTTTCCTCCCCGCAGAAACAGGAGCCTAAAAGAACATTATCATCAGTGTATCTGATGAGTTTCATACATAACTACGTCTTACAGCCCAGAAATCTAATTAGGTCTCTTTTCCTTCTTTACCCAGTGGTGTTTTCATGTGGCCCGGATACACATCTCTATGTGGCTGTGTTTGGCGCAGGGATGCATCAGGCGCGGCAGCAGGAACCCAGCCCAACCTTTTAAGACTAAGGGATCCATTCTAGAGCCCGCGGAAGGCGGCATGTTTGGGATGCTGGCTGCCCCTGGCCGGCCTGAGACAGGGGGTCGAGGGGGCTGGACAGGCCCACAGATGAAGGCGAAGCACAGAGCGCAGGCTACCTGGGAGTCGGGTCCCCACAGGGCTGTAGCCGTCCCGCTCCCCGGACACGGACCCGCTGCGGGGGGGCAGGGGAGACGGAGGGGCAGGCGGCGCACTACCAGGGGAGGGCGCTCGCGAGAGCGGCC